ATGCGCTGCATCCAATCTTCGTCACACAATTGACTTTTTGCAAATAAACGCACTCAGTGACTTTTTCATCAAAGTCTCCTCTTTGTTGAATGTGACAGCATTTACTTGATATAAAAGCTTTGCAATATCTATACGTACAAAATTCAAGTTGCCTTCAGACTGTAATAGATTACAAGAAGAAATAACGTTGAATTCGCAGAATTATATTTCGACACCTATTCAATCAGCGAATAGTCATTACAATAGAACATTTGTGCATATGTGTGTGTATGCGTGTGTGTGCGATATTGATGCGGTAAACATCAATACATCACTCTACACACTACATCACTTATACTACATCAATATTGCACGCATACAAATGCACGAATACAATTCATCAATAAAACAGTGGTACTGCACGACAGGCACGTGAACATATTTTGCGTTGCAGTGCATAATGTACAAAGAAAATAGTAAAATTAGTACTATTTGTTTACACCTAATAAATATAGTGTACAACGTAATCATTTAATTACCTGAGATTATACAAGATCATCAGCTCTGGAAAATAATTTTTTACGCATTCAAGATAAACGAAAAAGATCTCTGAACATCTTGGTCAAAGTAAAAAGTATGGCCATGATATATGTTAAATTATATAGAACTATAGTATTCATCGCTTGTGTACATAAAACGTTGTATTTTTACAAAAATTTTGGTTCAAAAAAATTTTTTGGCAATAGTTTTGATCGGTACTGCATGACTCTCCCTTAATCATTTGTTTCAGTGTACACAGTTAATTGAAAAAAAAATATTTTGCACACAAAAAAGATCAGATAAAAAATTTTTTTATTGTTAATAGCATAATATAATATTTAGCCATTTTTAATGAAACGGCCAACTAAGCTATTCTGATAAATGAAATAAAAAAAAATCGGATAATACACAATCCATCAAACGTGACAATTGATGAGCGAGCGAACGTGCTAATTAATCATTAGCCCGGTACCGTAGAGCGGTCTCCCGATTTTATCCGCTATTTATATATATTTCAAACCGCAATGAATATCCGTAATTGATCGGCCAACCGAGTAATTAGCGCAGCTGTAATTGAGAGAAAATCGCGTTAAAGAAGCGCGCAAAGCGCTGAGCGGGCGGCGTTTCCCGATCGCAATTGCATTTCCCATATTTGACGTTAATTGGCCGCGCGGGCAATTAGTTACAGCAATAATTGCGGAGAAACAAGATCCGCGCCGGTGCCAAAAACGCCGACTAATCGCCAGTGTTATTCATGATTAGCCATGATGTGAAGTCAAGTAAAAAGTCTTTCAACGTTCTGATATTATTTTAACCAATAAGAGTAATTTATATGTATTTTACCCTGCGTTTATATTGTATCTTCATCCCTTAGCTTAATTTAATATTAATTGGTCATTAATTGAAACGAGACTCATTTAGGTTATTCCCAACAAATCGTGACATTTACTATTCCGAGAAAGGTCAGTCAAAGGATTAATTTTCAGTTTTAAAATTGTAAGAGACTATATTAACCTTTTTTGACTTCAATATTGGTACTTTCATGTTTATCAAAGTTTTAATAAAATTGGATAGAGAGAAGAGATTGTTACATAACAGAAGTTATTATTTTAATAAATATTTATCCTGTACAAATAAAAATTGGATAATGGCAAAGCAATAATTTTGAAATAATTTAGTATCTATATATATCTAATAGCATTTTTGCCAAAAAAAAATTTAAAAATAAAAACGTCATGTTTTCATAAATTAAAACACAAAAGGTAAATCAATCGTGAGTTACTTACTTTTCACTATTATTAGGTAATTAATTTTCTTCTGGCCTCTTGAATGTGCATCCGTGATTATAGGTATATCAAAATATTAGCGATGGATTATATCGTGATGTTAATTAATTAGAAGAAACAAATTAGACTGTAATCGACGAACAAAATAGTTTTACAACGTGCGATTGTTGGATATAGATATAACTTTAATTACTACTCGTTTTTCACGGTATTAATTGCCATGGCAGTATTTCAACGAGTCTACCCGAATACACGCACATCCATGTTTTTGGTATTTCTCTTTTTAATTTTTTTTCATATTCGTAATTCTTTTGAACACGATGATACAAATAAACACGGCGTAAGCACAAAATCGTTATGGACAGGATTTAATGAACACATCCAATTCTTTATACAACGTACGCGTTACTTTGTATAAACTAACGTGTTAATGTTCATTGAAGATACTATCAATTTAAAATATTTTGAAAGCTGTAATTTGTTTTAAACAAAGTTTTACAATTCATTGATATGAGCAAATAATAAAAATTAAATTTTTATTCATTTCAAAGCATAGCTTTGAGAACTGTCACTTAGAACGTAAAAAAGTTGATAAAAAAAGGATTGAAATTATTAAAGTTATTGTCAATAAAATTTTCATTAAATTTTGAAATTTAAAACAAAATAAACAACAAATAAATTTAATTTTTTATATTAGAAATTTGCAAATAAAAAAACCATAAATGGAAGTCAAGATACTTTAACGTTCTGACAATAATAAATTCGCAACGTCACAGACTCGTGTTTCAGAATTTTATTTTGCTCGACAGAGGTAAAAAGTGAAAAAATAAAATTCTCAAACAATTTGAAAAAACATTTAAAAATCACGTGGCATAAAGATAAAATTGGCCTCTTTGTAAACTCTGTTCCTCTTAATCAACGACGAGCGGGAGATCAAGTGGGCGCACCTGCTCATCCGGGGCGCGTTTCTCTCGAATCCGGGAAACGGTCGATCGATGTAAAACCGTCGTGTAATATCGAATACGACGAAAACTTGGGCGAATCTTGGGCACGATGGCGGATTAAAGTTCCAAATCCGGCGGCTCGAGAAATAATATGCAGACGCGCAAGCGAGATACGAGGAGAGGCAGGAAATGAGAGCAACCGGAGAGAGAGTTGAAATTAAATTAAACTTTCGCCGCGATAAATCTTACTCGTTGAAGTGATATCTTCGCGAGATATTACGCGAGAGATGCGATCGATCGTCCGCTCTTTCATCTCGTCGACGGAAAATCGTGATCGTTAAAATGACCCGAAGATTAATTCCTATTATTTGCCCGCTCTATCATTTATCTTGACTGAATCGCGAATTATTAATTGTTTTGATATCATATTTTTACTCTCTTACACGCCTATATACATATACATGTATATACTTTTTAAAATTTCTTATATTTATAAGTTTTGCAAATATATCTCGTAAAGTCATATCTCACATTTATACAATTTCCTCCTTTCAATTATTACATATCGAAATATAATTAAAAATATCGCTATTTATATCGTATTAATTTCCTATATAAAATATTCCGTATAATAATTTTATTTCTGTTGATGTGATTATATGTGTAAGTATAGATTATATATAAACAAATAATAAAATAAATGTTTTCTATTAAAGAGGTAAAAATATAAAAAATCAGGTTTCATGAATATCGCAATACCGAGTGAAGCAATTTATTTATTTGTATAATAAACTTGCACGTTGAAATATATTTGCTGCACGGAAACTAATGAATTTCATTTCACCGCGTTGCAGGCCGGATCGGCACACTGAGAAGCATTTTTATTGTAATTGGTTATCACTATTCGATATATTGAAACGCGGATATACTTTTTTCCCCTTCCAAAATACGAAAAAATTATTTCGAGCACACGAAGATTTATTAAACCACAATGTAATTAATATTTTCAGCGAGATATTTCCATAAATTTCTAGAAATCTATATTGTTTTTAGCGTGTAATACTATAAACTCTCTCGATCTCTGTATCCTTTTCCTGTCTGCAATATATTATGTATAAACAGACTTGCATCGGAAATGTTTATCGTATCACATTCATCTCGCGGATGAATAACAACCAATTTTTAAACCTTCCACGTTTTTCCTATGGAGAAAAGCGTATAATTTTTTCGTATTTTAAATTTGCTCATTTTTCAGCCATGTAAAAATATCGAAGAAAGTTCTATAAAATAGGTTGAAATAGTTAATTAATTTAAAGATCCTTTTTCTGGCCCGTAAATAACATGAATTTTCAAGTTCAAATTTTTAATTCGTAGTAATAAAATCTAGATCGAATTGTGTCTTTTTATAAAAAAATAATCTAACCATCGCGCATTGTGAAGTCAAAAGACGAAGTACAATGCGATGCACAAAACGTTTTGCTCTCGTTCGTCGAAACACAATGACAATTACCGCATCGCGATGTACGACAAAAGTCGCATGCATAAAAGCAGTCTCATACACCCCTTTTCCTTGATTTTTCCTCGCGCGAGAGACGACTATCCGTCAACAGGACGCCGCCGCGCCGTCGCGAGCAGTTGGCGAGAAAATATGAATTTGCACGGCGCATTAAAACAAATAGAATTTTCCATGATGTACATCAGCGACGTCGCGACATTTTTGACATAACTCGCGGTATCCGGCAAGAAAGATCAACTTAATGGAAAAATTTATGATCACGAATCGGTAGACTTGTTTCCCACGCTGATTGCGTGCAATTCGTGCTGGAATATCGTAGAAAGTACGGTAACTGACAATTCCGCTATCACGCATCGCGCCGCATAAGATTATTTATGGCAATGAAAAACAATTAAACAGTGATTTGACTTTTTTAATACATATTTGATAAATATATATATTATAAATAATTTTGAATCGTTGCAAATTTTATTACTTGTGTATATCAAATATAATGAAAAAAGGAAACATAAAAACACGTTACCAACATGTTTTTAATATCGGAACATTTATTTAGCCATTAAAAACTGTTTATTTATTTATTTGAAAATAAAACTGGATTAAATCAATAGCACTGTGCAAGAAAGGCATATCCATTTTTAACGGATATGCACGTAAGGAATATCCTCGATTAAGAAATAATTTGTCTTAATAAGGAATAAGATTATATAACTACGAGTATGATGAGAGACTCACCAGTGAAATCATCTGTTTGATTCCTCTTGTGATGAGTGCGATGATGATGGCCACCCGGGATGGGGATCTGCTTCATATTGAGCAGATCCCGATGCTTGGCATCGATCAGCGGATTTTCCAATTGCGATTCGATCACCTCGAAGCTGGTGGAATTGTCCGGATGGGCGATGACCTTCACTGTAAATGACTGGGTGTAACAAGTTGTGCACACAAGAAGTGCAATCTTCAAGATAAATCCATCCTCATAGAAGGAATTAAAAAAAAAAACCTTTCTTCCGACTATCTTATAAACAGCAGACGGAAGTGAGATCGCGATATCGTGCGCAATTCCGGAAATCATTGGGGAACCACTTTTATTACGCACCCGTAGTCGTGAGCTGCGAAATTGCGAGAGCGTTTCTCTTAGTTAATCCGCGAAAATATTTATGCGGAAATTTTACTGGCGAATGACGCCGCAGCGCGCGACGCGAGCAGTCTGAGAAATTAATACGGCGGAATTGAAAGCTTCTTTTCTTAGCTACTGTAATCGCATCGAAGTGAACGAGAACGAGACAATTGATTAATCACGACTTTCTGATCTGTCCTAAGTGCACTCAGACACATAAAATGAATTTTACATCCTGTTAAATAAAGAAATTAACAAGAAAGGGATATATTGCCAGTATTTCTAATTGTATTTGCAGTAGAGTGTATTAATTAATTAATTTACTTATTTTAATTCGTCGATGATCAAAGAGAGAAATCTATCAGATTATTAAAAGTGTTAAAGAAAATTTAATGCGAATACTTCAGATGTAAAATCAAATTTTGTTTTTAATGATAATATGATAAATAATAATAAAGTAAATAATATAACTAAAACATTATCTTTTGAAAAAAAATATTATCTTGTCTTGATTGACATTCTTTACCAATACCTGTCAAAGATATTAAATTTTATAAATAATTAATCTTTGATTTTTTTATTTGAAAAAAATTAATTGCTTGATTTCTAAAATTTATTTACTGTATGAAATTATCTGATAATATCACGAAAAATTCTCTTAATAAAGTAAAGAACCATCTTTAAAATATTTTACACAATAATAATTGAAAGACAATTAAGAAAAAATACATGATACTGAACAATATTAGTAATCAATCTGATCTTTTAATGCTTGTCATTTCACTTTGCTATTAAATATGTATTAATCGCTGTTATTATCAATATGTTATTAGAAACCTCATAAATTCTAAAGTAGCTACACTCATAATTCACCAATTCTATGTGTACGTACATGTATATTTTTCATAAATAATTAGCTCCTTCTGTTGCTAAATAAGTTATTAAGCGAACCACGCTCAGACATGGATGGGTAACATATGATTATTTTCATACGTTTCTCGTGTTAATTATATTTATATACAAAAACGAAAAAAGCAGTGGAAAATCAAAGTTTAAAATATAATTGTTATTATAAAAAAAATATTATTATTATAAGTACTATATTGTTATTATAAATTAACTTTAACAGTTTCACCTCAATCAAATTAATCAATTGCATCAGCTCTAAAATTTTCGAGACTATCGTATTTCTTCCCATTTCCAATTTCTCGAATATGCTCTGCATACCGAAGTAAGGTATAGGCAGAAAAGATACGCGAGCGTACCCATCACAGTGCCCGACGTATACTAGCGCGAGCTAAAAACTTTTCAGACATCTAACGTGTCTTCGGACACGTCCTTCGGCGACACTTCGCAAAGTGAGGTCCCCTTGTGCGCGCCGATGAACCCTGTACGAACCTTGATCGTCGTACTCTTCGCGGAAATCGAAGATCCGATCGACGGGCGGCGCGGCTGGTCTGATTTCGAGGTCATCGAGGTCGTCGTCGGCGCGGTCGAAGATCGCGCGGTGCTCGTAGGTGGGCCTAGGCGCAAACTTCCTCGGGGCCGGCAGCCGGGGCGATTCGGCATGGCCGGGCCCGCGGGCCCCCAACGGCTCGTCCAACACGGTAGGCGTGGGACGAGCAGCCGCCGGCGCGTACGAGCCCGCCGACGACGACGACAGCGTCGCGACGACGGACGGCGGTGCGGGTAGTGCGAGGTGCTGACGATGGTGCTGGTGCTGTTGGTGATGGTGCCGATGCTGGTGCGGGTGCGCGTCATGCTCGCTTTGGGGCTGCAGGTGCACTGTGCCGGAGGCGCGATCATGCTTGGACAACGAAGACGAAGACGAAGACGAAGAAGAAGAAGAAGAAGAAGAAGAAGAGGAGGAAGAAGAAGAAGAGGAGGAGAAGGAGGAAGAAGAAGATCCATCCGTCGATCGATCCGGATGATCAACGCCTGGACGCGAGGTCGCCGCGCGATCCTCGAACCGATTCATATCGGTCTCGTACCGGTCCGAATCGGTCCGAGGGTCGTACGCCTCGACGAGGACAGCTGGCCTGCCAGGCAGCTCCGGCGCCTCCTGGTGATGATGCCGATCGCCGTGACGGTGGTGGTGTTGATAGCGATCGCCGGGCTCCCGTATGTCGTACGTGCTGTCGGGATCGTAGTACGGCGGGGTGCGCGCGGTCCCGGGGAACAGAAAATAGGGGTACATACTGGTCGGCGGCAACCAGATCTCCTGGTAGTTCTCCTGCTGCGGGTCGAACGGGTACAGGGCTGAATCCGTGCCCGACAGGTCTACGGAGGTGGAGGAGGGCAGGACCTCTGTAACACAGAAGCAGAGCCGCGGACGAGAACGGGGTGAGTGAGGGTGCGCGTTCGCCATCGGTACGCAACGTGCGAGGTCTGCGTGCTGTTGTTGTGGGGGTAAAGTGTCGTGATGGTGAATAGTAGTGATGGTTGGTGGTAGTTGCGGTGCACGGGCGTTGACAGAGGATTATCGCGGAGAGGAGACTCCGGCTCGATATCGCTGGCAGGTGATATACCAGTTTCTGTTTGTCGAGATAAATAATCGCATGGATATCGAGTATTATCGATACTCCGAGACATTGAATGCGAGGAACATGAGTGAGCATAATTGTTGACGCAACGTTCTATGTCATAAAATTAATTTGGAGTCTTTAAATTAATAAACGTCTCGCCTTTATATAGGAATTTCAAAAAACAAATAGAATTTCTTTAAGGAAACAGAAAAGGTATATATATATATAAATTAAGTAGAAATGGTAGATTGAATATAAAGATAATTTTATATTTAATAATATATAAAAATAATAAGAGAAAATATAATTGTAAACTAATTAAAACATGTTTATATGTACAGACTAACTGTCTAACAAAGAAACATAAATTAACATTACATGTTAAAATCGAGTATTTAATTCCGATCGTCACTTAATAAAAAATTTTAAATTCTTTTATTAATCTTTTCATGAAATGTCACATTTTCATTGTGAAAATATACTCGTATATAAGATGTTTGTGTTTATTATGTTTTCTTTTATTTTTGATCAGCGTACAGTAAATTCTTCTTAAAAAAAGATATTTCTGTAAAATGTTTTCAATTAACCTTGACAATTCCAAGATTTTATTATGAAAAAGAACAGATCATAAAAATTTCATTATTTAAATATTATATTATTTATTATGTGACAAAAGGCATTTCAATACTTAAAAGAAATTAACGAAAGATTGTATAAATAAAGCGCGATAAAACAATAAAACATTCTTACTTTATCGTTCCATTTTAAAGGTGGTGAAAAATAAATATGTCACAAATATATGAGATAAACTGTTGTAATTGTAAAAAAGACAGTAGTTTACACGTATATGTGTACGCGTATCAAAGTTGTATGCACAAAATTACCATGCACTTTTAATGTCAGTTTTAATATTATTAATATAAAATCGATTAAAATTACTTTTGACAAATGCAAATATAATCAAAAAATTAAGTAATAATTTATTAAGGGAAAATGATGTCATTTGTGATTTAATCGAAATCCGGATCAAATTTAATTCTATTACTGTCAATTACACAAGTCAACTTTATCAAAATGCACTTTTCATTTATATTCTCATACCATATTTTTAATGTCAAAAATTATTTAGGTATAAAAAAGCTTATTCAAGCAAAGCACGCACGTTACGTTCCTGCTATTACACTTTTAATTTAACACTTTTCTCTTAATATTATTATGCTTTTAAATAGCGTAATTAATCAATCGTGAATTACTTCAAGCACATTATTAACGAGTGGAAAATATCTTCCTGAGTGTCCTCACGACGATGTTGGCGTTTTCTCGTTTGTCGAAAGTGATGGTGCGACGTGAAATAAAAAGCCGACAAGAAGACGAAGTTAAATGAACCGGCCGGTAATCGAAATCGACAGGCGACCTGGCGTCTCTTCCTGAGAGGATTTTCGGGCTCCTTCGAGAATACCGCGGGACTTGAAACTCCGTCCAGAGCCGAGGGATCCTCGTATTGAGCGTTACTGCACGCGAGAAATTATCCCGGAGCGACGCGCTGCTCGCCGAGCGTGATTTCGTTCTTAAGAGATTTCGGGATTCCCGGGGGATCGTCGCAGAGAGGCCGCGGGACGTCTCGGCCAAGGGGGTTAAACCCCCGGCTCCGCGTCGATCGTTCGTAAACGAAATGAAAACTCAAATAAATTAATGCGTGCCATTTTCTTCCACTCTTAAAATTGTATCTTTTCTCTTAATTCATCACGTTACATGCTTCATTCTGCAGTCAAAATTTTTTATTGCAAGTCTGATGAGAAAAAAAGAGAGATTTGTGCGATAAAAACGTAAGAAATGTAATAAATATGAAATATAAAAGTATTATGTGCATGTGTATGTTAATAGATTATTGTTCAAACATTTTATGAGTATAGTAAGAAATAAATGTTCCATCGGAATTAAATACTCCCAAATTATAATTTCTATTTTAAACAAAAATATATTTAAATAGTAAAAGAAAACATTACCAAATAACTTCCCTATAGACGGCCTAGACTTACCTTTTTTACTAGAAACTGGATATTAAACATCAACAAATTCATTCTTTGAAATTTTATTGAAATTGCGTCAACCATCAACTTTTGTTCCGTTTATAATTCAAATGTCTAATTTAGTGTCGAAATAACTCTGATAGCCATCCGACGTTTTCCGATAAATCGTTCGGCGACATTGAGGAAACGAAGGGGAGTATAGTGAGTCGAGTATAGAGAGTAGACAGAGTCGTAGTAGGCGTTACACACACTAACAGGCTATACACACTTCAGAGAGAAAACAAGCCGTAAAGTTACGGGCATGCGGGTGCCGATTCGCCGATTTCCCCAGTAACGGGAATTTTCACGGCATGCAGAAATACAACATGCGGTGCACAATTCCTGGGTGCGCTCCACCCCGCGGGGATCGTCCGGGAGAGGCTCATCGCGCCGCCACCTTGAGCTCGCGCTTCATCCGTCAAGCGTGCAGCGCGTTTCATATTTCACGACGCGCGAACAATCTCGACCGATCGCTCGACGTCGATTCGTCTCGCGGTGGATTTACGACGACAAAGGAAAATTGCCGAGCGCGATCGAGGAGGCCCTTGTCAGACGTTCCATCGCGGATCGAGCAGTGCGAGGGATTGATAAGTCGATACGCCCCGCGCGCGTTCCTCGGATTGACAAAGTCAGAAAGGATTCCGAACAGCACCGAGTTAGAATATAAGGAAAGAGGATGAATATTATACACAAAAATATGATCGAAGATATTTGTGCGCACTTGCTCGGATATTCGTATAAGATCGTGTGGAGGGAAGGAAATGACTATATATGTACATGGTCTGTCCCAAAAGTAATGAGACTAATTTTGGCGTCCCAATGCAGAATTGTCGGAGGGTAAATCTATTGGACGGGGCCTTTGTACGGGATGTCAGATATACAGTCTGACCCTTTCCAGTTGCTTCCGAAACTTTCTAGCGGTCGATATACCGTCAATAAAGTGCGTTGTAATTTTTCGTGTCTTGTCACGGGTGAAAATTCAGCAGTCTCGAGCAGCGATCGAATTTCGCGTGAAACTGGAAAAATTTGATTTCGAAACGTTGGAGATGTTGAGAACGGCTTATGGGAATGCTGCTTTGTCCTCAGAATTTGATCGTAACGTGGTTCAAAATACAACGCAGTCTGTGCTGAATTTTTGCCCGTGACAGGACGTAAAAATTACAAACGCACTTTGCTGACGGTATCGACTGCTAGAAAGGCTCAGAGGCGACTGAGAAGGGTCAGATTGTATACCTGACATCCTGCACCAAAGGCTCCGACCTGCATGGATCCACTTCCTACAATTTTTATTGAGTCTAGCTCCAAAAAATATAGTCTCATTATACTGTTGGGACAGACCGTGTATATATGATCCAAAGATATTCCGCTTGTGATGCGGACGTTAATATTAAAATAGCAAAATCCAAATAAGAATCGCACGATCGCGAATATAATGCAGCGATATTCCCGCGAGTCCGCTTCGATCTCGATAGCGTTCTCCATCCCGTCGATTTATCTTGTGGGCGTTTGTCGATGGGGCGGCAAGCGATCGCGCGGCGCGCGCGTCGAAATATTCATGGCATATATACGCGACGGAAATATATATCTATGTAACGCGCGGGATCACAGACGGATGAGGCGAGAGAGACACTCGGGGGATAGGCCGCCTCCGAGGGCGCGGTGGCGGCGTGGATATTGGTCTCGTAACGCGAATCCTCCAAGGGCGGAGTGCGTCCTTACAAGGGGGTGTCGAGGTGCGCTTTCTCTCGTGCAGACATTTCTCTCTCCGTGCGTTCCGGGATTTCGAGGATCGATCCTCTCGCGCTTCCTCGGGCCTCCCTCCATTCGGAGTGGACGTGTCTCTTCCTCCCGTGGACCGGACCGGCGGAGGAGGAGGACTCTCCACGCCGAACCCCCTTCAAGTACTCCCTTCAAGTATCGAACGTCTCGAAGACATTCGATTCTGAGTATCATGCGCTGCTACTTCTCATGGCGTGCCTTCGTTTTATTAAACCTCGGATGAGGTTTTTATTAACGTGAGATGCAACAGACTTTGCGTTAACCAGGACAGTTAGAAGCCTTTGAGGAAAAAACGAGAAAACAAACGGTTTTGCTTAAGAATTTAAAAATTTAACTATAGATACAAGTTTAAACGTGATTCTGTCAATCCAACAAAATAATTATATAATTAGGTACAAATTGTTATTAATATATCATAATTATATTATATTATGTGTCAAAATTTTTTGCAGCATTATTTTATATGTTTGAGCATTCTACGTAATTGTTTTGATGGTCTAACAAAAACTATTTTTCTCAGATTCGTATCCAGCTAAATTTTTAAATATTTCAGCAAAACTTTCCGTCTTCTTCTCGTGCAGTGACATTTAAAAAGAGATATGACAGTTACAATTTAGTAGCTTCATTTTGTAGATTTTCGTACTTTCATACACTATGGCAAAAATATTGTAGCTCCTAAATATCGGCTATGAAACACCTCACGTTGTTCGAGATATTGCACTTTCAGAATATGTTATTCACCCAGAAAGTGCGACGATCGTCGAGAGGTCACAGAGATTTCTTTCTCACTGTGTCTGAGAGGACGGTTTGATTTTTATAACAACAAGCAAGATTGTTATAAAAATAATAAATGTTTGTCATAAAAAAAATCAACTTAAGACTTTTGCTTTGTTAGTTTAAAATAACTGGCTATTGTGTTGTGATAGTAGATACTTGTAGTTGTAATCGATCTACTTGTCAATTTGTTCTACTGATGTAGGAGGAACGGGGGATTGGATCTTGAATTTTAAAAATTATATAATATTGCAAATTGTCATAATTATATATTAATTCAAATTAATAGTTTTACGTACGTAAAAGAAGTGAGTAACTGAAATTTAATTACAATAAATTGTTATAACTTGACGTATCAAATCGTAATGATAAAATCGTAACAATTACTTTTCGTTCATTCGATATACAAATTAATAGAAATAAGTAATTGAAATTTAACAATAAGTCGTTATAACTCAGACGTATCAAATTGTAATGGTAAAATCATAACAGTTATTTTTCGTTCGCTCGATATACGTATTAATAGCATGCTATTAAATAGCAATTAAGTAATATCATGAGTCGCCATCTATTATTCAAACAATGGCTAATAAACCGCGACGATATAGTGAAACAACTTTATATCTATCGAAGATAGTCTCCCCGATCAATTTACAATTTGCAAAAATAGAAATGTATAATCGATCAACATGTACGATTAAGTAGTAATGATTAAACGTCTGGGACATTTTCTTCTGTCCTGAAGATGTCGATCGTTTGTAACAACAAGAAGTAATTTAATTCGATTGCGGTCAATAGTTGGGCCATTTATATAAATTTCGTGCTAAATTTTCGACGGCACTCCTCCTTTCTCGCCCTCCTTTCTTCTTCATTGCTATTCATACACCTACCGTCTGCTTGTTCGATATCTTGGGGGAAGAAGAACGGAGGACGCGCGGTGAAGGGCCGGCCCATTTAAAGTCGCGCGCTTCCAATCTCAATTCAAGATCCAGATCTACATATCGGGGCGAATCGTTTGGTATTACGAGTTCGAAACAACTCGTTTATGTTCAAGTTTGCACGAGATGGTATAATGTCGAAAGTATCGCATCGATTTCGAAAGGTATTTAAAATTGTCCAAAGGCAGAAATTTAAAAAGCCGTGAAAAATGTGTCATTTATACAAATATCAAATGCACTGGAATTTTAGAGACAATACTTTTAAACCAAATTGTGTGATCCAATAGAAATATTTGCGAATAATAAAAACGTATTTTCACGTATAATATGTAAAAATATTGTTCAATGAGTAATCAAGATATAATTTAATTATTTGAATATTTTTTCCATATTTTCGAGAGCGACTAATTGGATTATATGACCGCGCGATTGAAAAAATCTTTGACTGCAAGTAATTAAGCATCAAACGAGAAGTAAATGATGTCCAATTTTAATTTGGAATTCTATTTACCGATTTGCGAAAGTACCAGAGCGAATGTTTAAAACATTTTTCCTCGCAATAATGATTTTACCGTTTGGTCACAGATCACTTAGAAAGTAATTTTATAAGCATTTTCCTGACCTCGTTACCAATCTGGACACTAAATTGTATTAGTTTTGTAGTCGTTAGCTAAGTTGCCATCGACGTAACGTACAATATTTAAAATTAATTCGAAATTGTAGCGAACGGGACATAGAATTTCTTTGTTTCGCGAGGTAAAGTAGTTTTGTTGCTTGCTCGAGAGCTAAAACTGAATTGTTTGTACATTATGTCCGTATAGCGTCGGATGTTAATTATGTTATAACATTGTTACCGTAATGATTAATTGTTCGTTTATGTTTCCGTGCTGAAAACTGCTCTCACCCAGTCACGCATTCCACCAAACTGTTAATGCTATCATAGAGTGTGTATGTTGCCGTTCATCGCTCGCACTATATATGCATCGTTGGCACGATTCATTCGTCAAACGCAACGCAAGAGACACATTTGTCACACATGCGTGTGATGCGTGTAAAGATACTTACGTTCCGTGCGTGCGCGTTGCACGACATGAGTTTTATATTGCCTTAAATTACAATTGCGAGGCACGGGCGGAAGCGCCATTGATCCTGGACGTACAGTTGGGTAGGTATCGGTAATGAAGCGAAGTGTAAAAATTGAAATGAAATGGTGTAAAAAGTAAATTAAGTAAACAAATTTTAGCAATTGTGCGATTTAAACATACGTATATTAATTTTTACAAGAGATTCATATATTTTTGGTATCGTGATATTACATAAATACATTAAGCATTCTATTCGTATTTTCGTAAAAAGAATTAAATAATTAACAGGGCTTTGAAAGTGATAGAAAGAAATTGATTCGTATATTAAAGTACGTTGAAATAACGAAACAATTTCGACAAAAGTGCATTTCTGTTAAGAAAAATTGCTTTTTTTCTAAAATTGCAGCTGTTGCAGCAATGCATCTCTAACGCATCGCTTATTATCTGCCTCTCAAAGTTAGGATTCATTGTTATCTTCGTTTTAATGCCTGCATCTCCCTCTTTAGTTAATTACGAAGAAAGCTTATCCGAGGGTGAGGATAACGTTTTCCGACGAGCCTTGAACACCGCGGTATCGCTTAAAAGTAATTGCCCCGTCGAGCAGCATTCTACCTCGCTCGCAACTTTGATGCCGGGGAAAAAATGAGAGAGTAACAGGAAGTGGCTTCAGTTTAGTGTACGTCAGTTCTCAGCTGGAAGTCCGCTTTAAACGCGAGACTGATGCTACGATGAGTCTTCTCGTTTATGCACTTTGTTGATAACAAATTTCGCACTTTGTTAGAAGAATTTCAGAATACCGTCGATTATGCAAGTATAAACACCATTATTAGCGTAATTATTAACAAATTAATTAAACTTTTTTTAAAATTACTTCTATCTTGTTCGTAATATTATACCTGCACAATATTTTCCAACATTCCTTTTTCGCAAGAAAATAATTACAGGAGGTTTTTAAATAAAATAAGTCCTTTAAATTTCATAGAATAGAAAGACTTTTATTGAATAACAGAATATTATTCTGCGTCAATAAAATTCTTGTTCGTCATATTCGATTTCTAGTACGTTCATGTAAGAAATTTAAGACATTAAATGCATCCGAATTAAACAAAATCGTCTCGCATAGAAAATGGAAAATTTAATTCAATCAAAGATACGTCAGTTTTTCTTAAACAAAATCTGCACATTGCAAATCTGTATGCTGCGATCATTACGATCTATCGCTGTGGTCCAGGATCAGTGCGAACGCTTCAATGCACACATCGACAGAAAGAAACCAAATAAGAATTCTGTACAAGATACACACAGACAGACACGCAAGGATAAACCCCGTAAACTCAACGTAGACATGATAGAAAAAACTTTTCATGTATATTCAAAATTACTTCACAACATCAACAATCGCCTTTCACAAGGTGCTAATATAATTGTACTTGTTCATTCATGTCACAACATTATGTTCGAACCCCAATTCAAGATAAAACTTATCAAATGAAATTCCTCGTACACGTAGTTACGCGTCACGTGACGTGCATTTAAGCATCTCGCATATAGCAAAATTTAATTTAACAAACTTTTCATTTGATATAAAATTTGCAAATTATATTTAAATCAATAACTAAACTGAATAACAACTTTACATTTGCGATAGCAGCTAGTAAACGATTAGCAGAGGGCTTTAGTATCCAATCATAGAACAAATTAAATCTTTACTTTTTGCAATTCAATTGTGATATTACAATTACGTTGTTGACTAGAATATATAAATTTAGTATTCCACAAGTAATTACATGTACGATGGGAGTATATATGAATACATGGATAGAGAGAGAAAGAGAGAGAGAGAGAGAGAACTTCACGAATCTCATATTATAGTTGGACTCACCAACGCAGGGATTGTGGTTCACCGTCGAGAAGATCTTGTCGCATCGTCGCTTGATATGATTATTCGGACATATGCAGCCGAACATTGGCGATAGTCGCAGTTGCGTCCAGGAATCATGACAAGCATCCCTAAAACAGTAACAGGAAGAGATGTGGTTATGTACTCCGCAAAAATTACGAATTACGTAAAAAAAAATAAACATTTCGGAGAACGATTAAATTGAGAGAAGGCCCGCACGGTCATAGCAGGATCTTGGTGCTCCTATCCAGGCTGAGGAAATATTTTTTGCAGCAAATAATTCTTTATATTGCATCGTGGGTAGGGGGGATTTCATTAGACGCCGGTGAGCATCAGTATTTATTAAATTGATTAATCAACTCAATTTAATAATCGTGCGAATATACTGTTTTGTCTCAAGCAAAGAACTGTGTTGAAACGACACGCAGTTTGCTAAAACTAGAATATGCATGTAAAATTCACATATATAGAAATATTAGGAGCATCAAGATCCTGCTGTATGATCGTGCGGGCCTTCTCTCAATTTAATTGTTGTACATAGACGATCGGAATGTGTGATATTTTGAAGAATATATAAAAAATAATAAAAGAAGTATAAAAATAAATGGCACAAAATAACGAACAGGATAAGAATACAGATAATAAGAAGGCTGGATCGCATTAAGATACTAATTTTACGAATGAGAATTGTGTGTCGCGCGTTTAAATGCAAGATTTGGAATAATGTTAATAACAGGTCGCTGTGGTGCATTATAATCGTGACCCACCGCTATATAAATATTATTAATTAATCGCGATGAATTCCCGTTTCGCCTTGGGCCGCGTAAATCCCATGCGCGAAGGATTAATGACTGGCCATCAAATATCGGCGTTTTGCCAAGTACATCGACCTACATCTGGGTCCCCAATAGCCGTTAATAAATATTAAAATACGCAAACTCCGATATTCACCGAGCTACCATCGATATTTCGTTATATTTTTGCACATGTCTGTGTTCCAATAATCCGCGGTAATTGCAAGACATTATCGATGCGATACATATCGGAATTTCAATACGTGCATAATTAGCGATTGCTATCTTCAATGTATACCGTATAAAACAACTGTGTAGAAAGCAGTGTCTTTATAAAAACTATCAATTTTTATTTGTGACACGTGATATAATAATCATTTGTATAACCGAACAGTATATAATTAAATTTTTATAATACAATAACTCAGAAAAATCTGAAACTAGCTGTACGATATCCGATTGAGTTTGTGGTAACACGTACGATACCACTATTAAAATTGCGATAAAATTAATATAATATGAGGTAAGAATAACTTGGCGAGGAAGTACTAAAATAGTTGCATAAAAGTATGTAATATCTCATTAATAACAGTTTTAATGTTTTATTTCGTTGCAAGGTTTACTCTTGATAAATTATTAACAGGATGGTTATGTGTACAAAACGGTACATTTAAAATTTAACTGATAATAATTATTAATGTCTTATTTAAAATACTACAGATGCATTAGGTCGGTCAGTTTTAACAGTTTGATATTAAAAATGCATATTATTGAAATGATTGAAAAAAATGGATGTAGAAGAATTTGATTAAAGAACATAAATTTCTGTTATATCATAAACGTAAAACTTAAAACAGAAAAAAGCATCCAATAGCCAATTGCTATAGAAAGAACAAAGAAGAAAACTTAAAGCTAAAAGTATATAGACTTTTGCTTATTCTCTTTTTATCTTATCGGTGATGGTCCAATTCACGTGCGTGCATGCATCCTACAGATTATAGATACCGGAAAACTTCAATCGTCAAAGCTATAAATCATAGTCCCTTTTTTCTTTTCTGTCGTGGAACTTTCGTTAGCTTTGCAGGAGTCAATCGCGGCGTTACACCACGTCTCATATCTGACGCGAGAAACCTCCCCCCCCCCCTCCCAATCGGGAACTGAAACGTACTCAACTCTTTCCTTCCCTTTCCCGTCGAAAGTAACGCAGAAACTTTACGCGAATCCAGACCAATTGACTTTCGAACTTACACGAGAACGCTTAACGGACCTTTCCCGCACACCGACAATCCGCCACGAAGTAACAGCTCGATGCAGTTCGATGCACTCAGTGATGCACTGAGCGATTCAGGTTACCGCGCTGATGATGATAAGGAATTGCATTAGATCGTTTTGACGTTGTAAAAAGGGAAGAATTGGATCGAATAAAAATTAATCTTTAAATGTCTGATTAACAAATTCGGTTTAAACATTTCAAAATATGTATTTTTAAAAGTTATTGACTAGTAATATTTATAGGCACACTGAATGTATTACAGTTGAAATAAACTTAAAATTAATGATAATATAATAATACTATTAATAATAATAATTGTACAATTTATTTATTTGCTTGCTCCTTAAAGATGTGTACTCTTACGCGTCTAATGTACATTTAATTTTCATCAAACGTAATTTCTCTCGTTAAGTTAATATGGCACTGGTCACTCTCAATGAGAGAAAAAAATATAGACGAGCGCAAAGGAAGAGTAGGTGAAGGGAAATTCGACGTAGGGAGACTCTCGAGCTCTCAAAATTATTTGGGTTAATGGCACACACGCTACGGTGAATCTTGCTCGTCGAATTAGAGGTCAAAGGAGGCAAAAGCGAGCGGATGGCAAAGCTTGAACTGAAGAGTAGCGGGATGAGAGAGCGGGAACGGAAGATGCATCAAAGGGTGTAAAGGTTCACGTAAGAACGAGAACGCAAGTCACGTTTCATTCCGCATCCTGTGATTTTGTTTGACTTCACTTTCTTTCTGCACGGAGGCGATGTCGCCAAATATTTTTATTGTCGTATCACAAAGCCTTAAAGTGTGTATTGTTATCTTTGGAGAAGTGTTTGATTAATTTTTTGAAAGCACGGCTAAACATTTCTACGTCGTAAATGACATAAAAATCTGTAGTATTAAATATCTTTTGCATGTTACATTATTTTTGTTAGTTTCACACTCAAAGAGATTTAATTCGTTGTTATATTTTTACACATTAAATCATTTTCTTCAATGCATTAAAGTACGTTAAAAATATACGTATTAGTCGCTTGAAGATAAAACTGTAAATTTACGTGGTCTCGACTTTGCCTTTATTTTTGCGATAATACATTGTTACTCTTTTTCTTCGTGCTGCCTACATCGTTATTCCGTTGCCATTACACCTGATCGCTTTGCTACTATTGCATTCACGTGGCAGCTGTGAGCTTCGCGCGGCACCACGCAAAGTTCCAGCGAATTTCGCGACCCAGTGACCCGCGCGTTTACGCCACTGGCGCAAATAAATCGCGTCACGGCGATATGAATGCGCATAACCCGGCTGAAATAAGAAACAACGGAGCTGAGATTCATGATCCTCATATACCCGAAATCCCCGGTCTCAAGGATCCCGCCGGTTCCGCATCTTGTATCCGATCGATAAGTGGTATATTCGTTTCCGCTCCATCGAGATCGGGGAAAACTGTTTCGAAGAAAGTTTACTTCCCGAACAATTCGTTCTTCAAAGTAAAACCGCTTTCTACGAACTTTCCTTCAATTCCGAAGTTTTCGAAATTTCGTAAAAAGATCAGGAGATCCCTTACAGAACATTGATTTTCGAAGTGTAAGATCGATATGAATATAAAAGTTAAATAGGAAGAAATGACATGAATCAGAATAAAACATGGAAATATAATATGCAACGGGTATGCTCATCGAAATTTTTGTAAGGAATAAGTAACCTAATTTTCTAAAAGTCAACAATTACAATTCATATAAACAAATGTAATTATAAATATTATTATAATTATTGTCAAACGTTGCTAAAAGAAACAATGAATAACAAACAATGAATAACAAATTGCATGTATTTTACTAGTTAAATAAGGGAAGAGGGACAAATAGTGACAGGGGATAAATAGTGTCACTTTAAATTTCTCCTCTTTCCCGCGTCTATTTTACCACTACTCGTTAATTGAAAGATAGTTCTCAAGCATCTAATCATCTTCTGAAAATAGCCGTAAAAATCAAAAGCCAAATATAGGTGGGGAAGTTAAAAATTTTACATTTAAAGTAAGGTAAAACCTGGACTTTTTTTTAATATTTGAAGTCATATTTTCTTAATTGCTGAATCGTTGAATGAGATCTAACCTATTCTATGTTACGATATCTTTTTCCTCTATTTTGATACAATTCCTATGCCTGTATGTTTATTTTATTTCTCTCAGTAAAGTTTTAAAGGAAAAAGTAGCTCCTGGGTCAAATAATGACAATTTTTAGTTGGGTAAATAATGACAGGTCAAAAAGCTTTTTTAATATTTGAATATAATTTTTCTAATTTATTTGGGATAATG